GCCCGAGCCTCCTATTGATGATTTGGCTCACGGGTCTGAGCCAGGTAGTGATTATGGGTCGGGTTCAGGCTCCGGCTCAAGCCCGTTTGGGCATGCGGAGTTGCGGAATGTGGTTTCCAGGAGTGGGGCTGACGACATGCCAATGAGGAGGAGGTATTATGAGTCACCCCAGTCGATATTGGAGCTTAGAGCCATTGCTTGTGTGGAAGCTCAATTGGGAGAGCCATTGAGGGAAGATGGGCCAGTCCTCGGTGTAGAGTTCGATCGGTTGCCACCAGATGCGTTTGGAGCACCTATAGGTATAACTTTTGGGTTACCTTATTTATTATACAGCTCAGTTCAGCAATGCCTTGTACTTGACTTATATGGGATTTCGTTGCAGCATTATGCAGATAATTTTGTGCTTGTAGTAGTCTTGTAATTTTGTGCTTGTAGTTGTCTAGTTGCAGATAATAATTTCTGTTTTTCTCAGAGTATATTTGTATTTTGCGTTCCCATCTCTAAGATAAACAGAAATTATTTTCATGACTTTTCTTTTTGCCATGTTTAAATGTATCAATAAGTTTGTTTATTTTATGGCAGTCATGGGCTTTACAAGTTTCCAGATGCATTTGTATCACACTTGCTACTTGGTTCACCAATTTGCTTAATAATTAAGTTTAATAGTTGGTTTAAGTTTCTAGTGTAGTTTAACATTCACATTTGCTTTTGAGGCTTTATGCACTGTGGTGATTATGTTAAGAAGTTTGAGTTCCAAATTTTTTCATCTTGTGGTGGTGGAGGTGGTTTAAAAGTATGGACTATTTCCTAAATTTTTTGCATTGGAATCAGAAAAGTTGCAAAAACATATGATTTATTGCTCAATAAAGGCCACAGTTTTACCCTAGCATATTATTGCCGATTGTTTGACTGATTCTTGTATGCGGTTGGTTTGCTGCTAACCCTTTTGATTCTGTGCTTGGTGAAGCAGTTGCAGAGCAGCAGAAGCGGGCTGCCCATGCTTTGGAGGGCAAATATGAGCGGCATGATGCAAAACCAAATAAAGTCTGTCTC